AACCATGAGAGACCATGGACTCTGAGAAACAAACTGAGGGTTCCAGAGGGGAGGCGGGTGGGAGGATGGGTTAGCCTGGTGATGGGTATTAAAGAGGGCACATACTGCATGGAGCACTGGGTGTTATACGCAAACAATGAATCATGGATCACCACATCAAAAACTAATGATGTAATGTATGGTGATTAACATAACATAATTAAAAAAATAAAGAAACAAAAAAAATAAAGAAACAAACTAAGAGTTTTAGAGGGGAAGGTGGTTGGGGGATGGCTTAACCTGGTGATGGGTATTAAGGAGGGCACGTCCTGCATGGACCACTGGGTGTTATATGAAAACAATGAATCATGGATCACCACATCAAAAATTAATGATGTATTGTATGGTGACAAACACAATATAATAAAACAAAATAAAAAAAAATAAAGACACATATAGTCCAAAAGTGAAGAGATAGAAAAAATAAAAATGGTTACCAAAAAAGATCAGGGGTGGTTATACTAACATCACACAAAATTGACTTTAAGTCAAGAACTGTCACAAGAGGCAAAGAAGAAATTATATAATGATAAAAGGGTCAATTCACCAAGAAGATATAGCAATTATAAATACATATGCACCTAGCATCAAAGCACCTAAATATATGAAACAAACACTGATGGAACAGAAAGGAGAAACAGACAACAACACAATAATAGCAGGAGATTTCAGTACCCCACTGTCAATAATAGATAGAATATCCAGACAGAAATTCAATAAGGAAACAGACTGAACAACCTTAGAGACTGCATGGACTTAAGAGGCATATATAGAATATTATACCCCAGTGTCAGCAAAGATGTGGAGGAAAAGGAATCCTTGTGCACTGTTGGTGGGAATGTAAATTGGTACAGCCACTGTGGAAAACTATGGAGGTTTTTCAAAAAATTAAAAATAGAGTTACCATATGACCCAATAATTCCACTACTGAATATTTATCCAAAGAAAATGATAATACTAATTTGAAAAGATATATGCACCACCATGTTTATTGCAGCATTTTTTACAATAACCAAGGTATGGAAGCAACCCAAGTGTCCATCGATAGATGAATAAAGAAGATGTGGCATATATATATATACAGTGGAATATGACTGAACCATAAAAAAGATGAGGTCTTGCCATTTGCGACAACATGGTTGAACCTAGAGGGTATTATGCTAAATGAAATAAATCAGACAGAGAAAGACAGATGCTGTATAATTTCACTTATATATGGAATCTGAAAAACAAAAAATGAATAAACAAACAGGCAGAATCAGACTTATAAATGCAGAGAACAAAGTGATGATTTTCAGAGGGGATGGATAAAATGGGTGAAAGGAAATGGGAGACACAGGCTTCCAGTTATGGAATGAATAAGTCATGGGAATAAAAGGTACAGCATAAGGAATATAGTCAAAAACATTGTAATTGTGTTATATGGTGACAGATGGTAGCTACACTTGGACTGAGCACAGCATAACATATAAACTTGCTGAATCTCTATGTTGTACACCTGAAACTAATGTCACATTATGTGTCACCTATACTTAAATAAAAAAAGGAACGCATACCAAAAAATAAGTCACCCAAGTCAGAAAAGAAGTAAAACTATCACTATTTGCATAGGACATAATATTATATATAGAAACCCCTCTAATGACTTCACACACACACACAAATCTATTAGAACTAATAAACCAATCCCATAAAGTTGCAGGATAAAAAATCAACATACAAACCCAGCTGTGTTTCTGTACACTAACAACGAACTGTATGAAAAATAAATGAAGAAAACAATCCTATGTACAATAACAACAAAAAGAATAAAAGACTTAGTAATACACTTAGCCAAGGAGGTGAAAGACTTGTACGCTGAAAACTACAAAACATCAATGAAAGAAAGTAGTCACAAATAAATGGAAAGACACCCTATGTTCATGGATTGGAAGACAATATTAAAATATCCATCCTACCCAAAGCAATCTCCAGATTCAGTGCAATCCCTATCAAAATCCTAATGGCATTCTTTACAGGAATAGAAAAAATAATCTTAAAATTCATATGGAACAACAAAGGACACTAAATACTCAAAACAATCTTGAGAGAAAAGGAAAAGCTGGAGCCATCACACTCCCTGGTTTATACAATATGGCCTTGGCATGAAGATGGATATGTAGATCAATGGAACAAAGCCCAGAAATAAATTCATTTATATATATTGTCTTTGACAAGGGTGCCAAGAACACACTGTGAGGAAAGGATAGTATCTTCAACAAAAGTGTTGGGAAAACTGGATATCTATATGCAAAAGAATGAAATTGAACCTTTATATTATACTATACACAAAAATTGACTCAAAATAGATTAAAGACTTAAATGTAAGACCTGAAATTATAAAATTTCTATCAAAAATATAGGGGGAAAGCTTTATGATACTGGTCATTATGCATGTTGTTGATGGAAATGTAAAATGGTGCAGACACTATGAAAGACAGCATGGAGGTTTCTCAAAAAATTAAAAATAGAGATTATTTCAGGTTTTAAAAATCTGTTCTTACACTGCACCAAGAGGATCTATGATGTATCTATGCAAAATACTCCAGGTATCCTTTTAAAATTGGCCAGAGGAGAAATTAAAATTAATCAATTCAATGTACCATTAGGAAGTAATCAGGCAAATCCAGCAAATGGGACATTTGCAGGCCAACTGACCTATGCTCTTTAATAAGTTAACATCACAGGGAGAAAAGGAGGCTAAAGACTTTTAAAACTTTAAGATATTTATGGATTCCCATGGCTTGTTAAAAAATATTGGAGAAAAAAATTGGAAGGGAGGAGAATAAATGGAACAATATTGGCAAAATTTCAAAATTTTTGTCATGGTTGATGGGTACATGGATTTTCATTTTACTATTTTGTTAACTTTTGCATTCAATTGAAAATTTCCATTGTAGAGAGTTGGAAAAAAAGGGTACATGTGAGTCATAATAATCAAAAGCAATGAGTAAACAGCATTTTTAGAAAAATCGAGGGAATTTGAGTGTAAAATAAGAATTAGTATTGGAAAATTACTTTTAATTTTGTAAAGTGTCATAATGGCATCATGACTACATAGGAAAATGTCAGTAATTTTTAGAGGTACATAGTACTGCATCTAGGGTAAAATGTCATGATCTTTGTAATTTATCCTGAAATGTTAAAGCAAAAAAAAAAATGATGTAGCAAATATAGAAAGATGTCAATTGTTAAAATCATGATTATGGGTGTCCTCTATTCTTTTGTATATTTGAAAATTTTAATAATAAGCGATTGAAATAAGTCACTGAAGTAATTTTTTAATTCTGTGGAAAATTAATTTATGATTATGTACCTAGCCAAATAATGACTCAAAATTGAGGCAAAATATGAAATTTCAGACAAAAGCAATTTAACTCACATCCCACATACTGATACGTTCACTTTTTCATCCAGGATACTGATTATCTTTGGCACCTGAACTTTGACCTCAAACTTGGGAAGCACTGTTGATAGAGATAATGGAAATAGGGAGGCTGGTGAACATTTAATGGAAATACAAATATTTCATGTTTATAACTTTTCCCAAAATAATACCCTGAAAAGCTAGATCCATTTTTCAAGTGCCAGCTTTAAGATGATAAGTTTTAACAATTCACACAAAATTTAATTGCCTTTGTGATCACAGCAGATCTCAATGACACTAACAAAGGATGATGGCTCCACTGAAATAAGAATTTTGATACTCGGCAAAGTGTAACTTGCTACTGAAAATCAAGCTCTTGTGAGCTTCTGGAGCACAGAATTGTGATGACTTTACAAACAGCTCAAACTGATTCTAATCCAAGTTCAACATACCAATGGGAGATTCAGAAAGCCTAAGTGAGTGCACGGAGTGAAACAAAAAGTTATGTCCTTTTCATTTTTCAGAAGCCATACCAAATTCTTCTACGGTGAAGGGGTGTTCTATCCTTTCGCCCAATTCCTTCTGTACCACCACCTTGTAAGAACCCTGAATGCGCTCAGACGAGAGGGGAAAGGCCAGCTGTTGGAGGCCACTCTCCAACCTGAGACTCTGCCATTGTCCAACTCGATTTCTTTTTGGGTCCTAGAGGTAAACAAGGAGCATGGGGGAATAATTATGTAGCCATGATAGTCCTTGAACTAAACAAATGACTTTGGAGTTGGTAACTGGTTCTTGCCTTCCGAAGAGATAAATGCAGAAGAGAGAAAACAGAATAAACCTGATACCTGGGAGTAGGAAATTTTAGATCTGAAAGTTGTTTTTTTTTTAATAGTAATTCATCTGTAAGGACTATCAGAACTTCTAACCTTAAATGTGCTGATTTCCTTCTGTAAGGCTCTTTCTGTTGCTTACCTCAAGGTACACCAGTGGAATCTATATGAAAAAAGGAAAGAAGAGATGTGATTAGAATTTCACCAAAGGCTGTGATTTCAGACTTATGATCCAATAGTTTATTCAGGAAAAATAGTATCTGTAGTAAGATATAACAAAATTTAACCTGAAACATTAAAGAACTAGAATTACTTAGGGAAACCGGTAAATAGTTCTAAGAAAAGCATAAATATTTCCACAACAATCATTGTGTTGCCATTTCCCTGAGAAATATTATTGGTGAATAAGTTTTATTAATATTTACTAATTTATTAATATTATTTACCACTAATATGTAGGTACTGAAGTCTTCTTAATAAAGAATATGACTATACTCTTTACTTGCATATATTAGGAAATGGATTATTTTTAAAAAAGATTTATTTATTTATTTATTTGACAGAGAGAGAGAGCACAAGCAGAGGGAACAGCAGAGGGGAAGCAGGCCCCCCACTGAGCAGGGGGTCCGACGGGGGGCTTGAGCCCAGGACTCGGGGATCATGACCTGAGCTGAAGGCAGCCGCTTAACTGACTGAGCCACCCAGGCACCCCAGAAAATGGATATTAATAGAGTGATATGTTATTATAATTTAGACCAAATAGCAATAGAGTTGTCAGAATGATTTGGTTAATAGTTAACCAAGAATATTTTTTCTAATTTAAAAATTGCATTTTTAAAGTAGCTTTATTTCTTTGCCTTGTTAAACACTAGTTAGAGGAAGGGACACTCAATCAGCAAAAACAAAATCTTTGTATATAATATATATTCTATATTATATCTATGTTATATATTAATATATATTATAGATTATATGTATATAAAATATACATATATGTATTTATTACCATATTGCAATTTTTCTACTATATAGATAGATGGCTAGATATATTCAGAATCAACGAAACTCTTCGTGGTTTAATTAATCATAAACTCCTTGGAAGTATGGGTATGGATAGCTCCTAACTTTTTTATTGTGTCTCTTCATGTTTAATGTATTGTGTTCACAGCAATAAATCTAGCTATTGTCGAATGATTAATTACTATTATAAGAGAAATAGCTTCCTCATCTCTCACCCTTCAATTATGCCTTACATAAGACTCTAGACCTGTGGTGCTGCTGGAGCCCAGGTTCCAAAAGGAATGTTTTTTATCTTCTTGCTTTTCCTGGACTTTCCTGCTCCCACTAGGGTGAGTACTCCCACCCCCCACCAAAATCATAACTCTCGAGATACCTACCAGTTCATTCAAGGGGTGAAAATTCTCATCCACAGAGACAATACGGAATTTTACTGAAAAAGAGATTCCCTGGTAAGACTCAGACATGATAAAGCAGGGAATGTGTGTGCTAAGTCAGGAAGCTAAGAGATGGGGATTTTGCAAGTTTACTCTGCAAAACCTGCTGAAGGGTGCCCTCTCCTTCTCAGTACTGCCCCCACTGAGGGAAATAGAGGAATTTCCCGACATACCTGTCTGTCCTGGTTTATAGATGGGTTTGTCTGTCTGGACAAAGACCAGACTTTGAGCATTCTTTACCAGCACTGTGTTCTTCTTCCTAAAGTCTTGTGTTGGTCCCTTTATCTGGACAGTAAGGAATGCCACCTCTGAAGAGGATGAGATCCTTGGGAGCTAAGGAACAAAGAACACTGCTGAGGAGCCACACAATCTTCTCCCTCCCAATCTTTCATCCATTACTGTTTTCTATCTCTCTTTCAGCTTCACAAAGAACTAGGTAAGTATAAATATTTCTCCAGATTTGAGTGAAGATAATAATGTAAGACATAGGAGAAAAATATCAGTGAGAGCAACCATCAGTGGGACCCAAGTCTCCATATAGCTTACCAGGATCTCTAGTTCTTAAATCATTCTCCTTTTAACAGAGTATATATATTGTGAAGGAATGGAAAGAAGTCTATCTGTAAAAACGTGGGAGAACATGATAGCTGAGTATCCCAAGCTGGGCAACCTCAAAGAGGTACTGGATGTTTGCTTTGAGTATCTTGCACCATTTACACATTCAGAGGACAGAGACGCCTAACGTCTCACCACAGGAGAAAAATTCTGCTACATGCTGTCCTTCCATGAGATTTTTGTATAATCTCTTTTTAGGCACTGTCTTACTCTGGCCTGAAAGAGATGGTTACATATCAAAGCTAGAGAATCTAGCTCATATGTTTTCTATGGCTAACAGGATTTTTTTTAAAGAACTTAAATTGGATTTTAGCACATAGTAAAATATTTCTCTCCTATGTTGGTGGAAAATCCATGCTTTGTTCCTTCATAGCTGAAAACCCACTCTCTTTAGTACTTTATGAAGTCCTCACTAACATTAAAGTCATTCTTTGGGATTCAACACCAGTTCCCCATCACCATGACTCAATACAATGTATCAAACAAGGACAGGCAGATAGTACTCACAGTGAAGGAGACGCAATGGAATAAGTCCTTCCGCACCACCAGGTCAGTGAAGAGGCTCTGGTTTCCCCCGAGGGACTCCAAGGAAGCACTTACAATCACTGTCTCATTCAGGTAGCTCAGAAGGAGGCAGCCCTTCTCAGGGGTCCCAGTGTACAACAGGGAGGGGACAAGCACCACATACTGCCTGGGAAGAGAAGAAGGCTAAATCAGAGAAAAATGGAGGATAGCAAGCATTTTCAACCATAAATGTGCTTTTCATAACAATATGTATTTCTTGCTACATTTGGTTCTACAGCAAATGTCAATGGACTAAGAACATTAAGATGGAAGTTCTATCACTGCCCGGCCTAAGAATTATATTTTTTACTCCTGAGTAGTGCCTCACCCACACAGTCAGTCTGCCGGAAGTTGGCTTCAAGGCTGTTAACAATTTCATAGGCATTCTTTGTGTTATAGAGCATTAATATCTGACTTCCTGAATATATATCCATAAAAGTGCACATATATAATAAATTGCTGGTGACTATTCACTTTATAAAAAGATTTACATTAAAATCTGTCTAAATAAACATCACTGGTACATGGACACCACAACTGAATTTATATAAATTCAACTGAAAAAAACTTCAGTGAACATATATCCATTACATAAAATAACTCATATCTATATTGTAAAATAATTTTCTTTATAACAGCAACACTGAAAACAATATATTTGCTCTTTCTCTAAGGTTTCTCAGATATGCCTTAGCCAAAATCAATAATTTTTTTAACAACAAGTTTTTATTTCTGTCAATAATTTGCAAGCACACACAAGTACACAGTGCATTTGATTAACATTCTCCTTCATTCTCACCCTCTTGAGGTAATCAATATTAATATTAATACTTCTATGTTCAAAAATATATGCTTGTGTCAAACCTATACGGGTGGATAAATTATCTTCACTTACTAAAAAAACAAGTTCACATAAAATATATTATTTTGCAAAGTCATTTTTATTCTAATTATTGAATATATTTAATTATTCAGAGGTATGGACAATCTTTTGTGTGAGTTTTCTTTCTTTTTTTTTTAAAGATTTTAGCTTTATGTAATCTCTGCACCCAATGTGGGACTTGAACTTACAACCCCAAGATCAAAAGTCGCATGCTCTACCAGCTGAGCCAGCCAGGTGCCCCTGTGAGTTTACTTTCTTGACTTGGTTGATAAGTTTCCTTTATCTATGATATTCTCGCATATCCTACTCCCCACCCCCGCATATTTCCAAACAGAATTCTACCCATTCTTTGGGAACCATCCCAAGTGACCCCTTTGACACAAAAACTTTCCTGAAGCAGTCAACTCAGTATAATCTCTCCATACTCTGAATCCCTATGGGCTGAAAGAGAATGTGTGTTTCCTACATATTTACTACTTGCAAGGAAATGTGTTAAGCAGTCTCTGTATTAATCCTCCTAGCAATCCTATACGATACATACATCATATTCTTCATGTTCATGACAGCTAAAACATGAGGTCCTCGCCAGTCTCCAAATTTGAATATACAACAGTAAGATAAAATCCCTGCCTACTCACTAAATCAGTAGATCACACATAAAATGTGACTCCTCAAACTTTAATGATTCAATAGCTGCAGGTTTGTCATTTATTTATAGAGTTAATTTACAATTAAGAAAAAGAGAGTTATTATTTTCTTATATTGTTTTACTATCCTTTCCCTTCTACTTCCAACATGGGCTCTTACACTTAAAAAAAAGCAGGCAATTTGACCCATGAAAAACTATTTTATTACTTTTCAAAGTTAATAGGTATGAGACTAGGAGAAGAGAGTAACAGAGACAGTTTAGTTGTGGAAACTGGAAGTCAAGTTTGGTTCTCTCATTCTCCAAGTGGTCTGCTGCAGCCCATTCATCATGTTGTATGTGTTTTAAGTTGTTCCTTAGCAAAACTATATGCCATGAATCTTTAGATCCACCCTTCAAAAGTTAAAATCTCAGATTTTTAAATTGCATAAATGCTAAGGTTTTGTTCTAAAGCAGAGAAGCTCAGAGTATTTAAATAATCTACCCATAATCATTCAGATAGTACCTCTCATTTAATCCCTTTCTGGCATCTGGATATTTTTTATCTGAATCATCTACTCTTTCAAAAATATGGTAAGTGATAAAAATTATCATTTTTCACCTCCCCATCCATACTTTTTTCCCTCTAGTTCTCTGATCTTCATCAGTGTATTATAATTTTATTCAATATACTATTTTTATTCTTATTAGTTATAAGCCTAATTGATGTCATAATTTAAAAATTAATTCCATGTATATTAGATGTTTCAAACAGTTATTTCATAAAGGTTTGGTTAGTATCATTTAATAGATATTGAAATTGGAACCCATCAAGGTTGAGTAATTTGCTCAAGATTTCATCTGTAAGTGAGCAATTAAACTATTAAAATATTACTTAACCATGGATGTTTGCATTTTAAATATTTGCTTTTGTAGGAGTGACTAAAGTTTGCAAATATTAAACAGATGACTCTTAATTTTCTCTTTTTCATGTTCCCCTCCCACCTCCCTCTCTCTGAAGGCAGAGGAGGACAGTTCCTGGGTCTTTTGGGCAATATATCTCATTTATCACATCAAAGGCTAATAATGCTGGAGGGATAGGGGATGTTTTCTGCATAGTGAGAAGATACCTCTTCTGTTCATGACAACTAGGCCATGAAGTTTATTGTTTTTTAACAGATGTTGGATGCGATGTAAAATAATGTTTTCAGTGGGCAGAATGATCGTATGTTGTGTTGAACTGAAAACACAGACTGCTTAACATTTCCAACTCCAATGAATGCTGCTTGCTTCATCCATTCAGCCTTCAGAAATCTGAACAGCCCCTACATATTTCCAGATGCTCTTTGGGTGGAATGCAATGGGAGGTGCTACCATCCACAGTTGTACATGAGATAGAGGAAGGATGGCAGAAAAATGTATCCCTACTGATTACTGGGAAATTGTGCATTGAAGAAATTTGAAGAAGAAAGGAAAGCGAGTTGGTCACAGTTCTGATTTCTGCTTCCTGCACTCTGTCGTGGAGAGGCCCAATTGTATTAAGTGGATTAAGCTCACACAAAGAGAAAAGGATCCTTTGATCCCTCTGCACATTTAGGACTCTCGAGGCTGCCTGTATCAATCTGGAACGTAGCTACATTCAAGGCAGGAGTGCACAGTGGGTAGGGGTCTGAACTACAAAGGGGGAAAGGTGACTCTGCAATACAGTTTGTATTAGAATAGTCACAGGATTGGAGGCAGGATGCTGTGGCAAGTTGGGGGCTCTACAGGATAAAAAAGAGCTGAGGTGAATCGGAGTCAGCCAGAGAGGGCTTCTGGGACTGTTGATCAAGGGACGGAGCTGAGACAAACCAGATGGCTGAAGATTCAAATGATGAAGGCTGGCAGGTGAGAAGAAGCCAGATTAACAATGGCCAAGGAAGACGAAGAATTCTCAGAGCAAAGACTCTGAGCCTTTTTCTCCACTAGGAAGGAATGGAGATCACAACCTTCTAGGTCCTCTCTTGGGGAGGAACTGGGGAGAGGTGGAAGAGAAATCTTACGATTATTGGATTTTACCAATTTTAACTGAATAGTTTTCAATTACTCCCTGCACCCCTGCCCAACTGGCCCGTTACTGGGGTCTCTTGCTGAAGACTCAGTAAGTTATTGAAAAACAAAGGAGCTATATACTTCTATATGTGTGATCTACAATATGAATTAAACTGCACCCCACTATGCGCTGTAACTATTTTTATAGTCAATGCTTTCCATCCTAAAGAAAGATTCCGTGAAGGTGGGATTGAGGTTTCAGTGTCTAATCAAATCACGCCTTCTAGTGACTACTTATTCTATTTATGATTATGATGACGCAATGAAAAAAGTGAAAATGTAGAAAAAAGTGAAAGAAAAAATAGCTTATAATTCGTCTCTTAAGATTGGAAGGTATCTTAAGAAACAGGAAGGGTAGCATTTAATGGGAAAGTTAAAGCAAAGATATAAAGAAGAGATGGAGATAAAGCACAGACTCTTGAGGAGGGGACTTTAAGAGAGACCGTTCTGCAGGGTCTGAAGCATCGGTAGAAAGCAGGACAAGGAGAAGTAGCATGAAACATGAATGAGGAAGTCTGCCTTTCTGCATAGTGAGGGACAAATCTCAGCCACTGTATTGTGCCCAACTCCCTGCCTTCAACCTGGTCCCTGAGACGTCTTAAATTTACCAGGTTTTATGTGGCTGCTATTTGCAAACAAGCTCCACCCCAAGGCCTCCAAAGGGAGCTCAGAGTTGGGCAGAGCTTCCCTGAAAAGGTCATTGCTCTCAGTGATTGCCTCATTACCCTCAAGGCTAACCTCTGACAGGCTCTGAGGCATTTCCAGAGGATAAAATTCATATTTTAATTAGAATGAACTTTCTTTTACTTTGACAGCAAAGCTCCTGGTGAACAGCTCCGTATAAGAGATTCATCCATGTTACTATGTATAGATTAAATCAGTTGTATTTTATTACAGTAGCACACTTCTTGGTCATCATCAACCAAATTTTGTATGTCCACTCTCCCAGTGATAGAATCAAGATTGCCTCTGCCTCCCTGATACCACAAATAATGCTTTGATAAATATCTTTTTAACATGTTTCCTTAGACACATACACAGAGGTGGGATTGCTGGATCTGAGGCATGTACTTAACTGACTAAATACTGCCAGATTACTCTCCCAGAATGGTTGTAACACACTATGATGCCACCAGATAGTGCATATCCTCACATTTCTGCCGACAGCTGGTCTTTACATTTTGCCAAACAAATGGGTATGAAGTTATATTATATCATTGTTTCAATTTGTATCTATCTCACTATCAATGACTTCAAGGTTTTTTTTAGTATGCCTTTAGTTTGTAAATTGCTTGTTCATTTCCTTTTCTCATTTTTTTTTTTTTAAAGATTTTATTTATTTGACAGAGAGAGAGCGAGAGAGGGAACACAAGCGTGGGGAGTGGGAGAGGGAGAAGCAGGCTTCCCAAAGAGCAGGGAGCCGGATTTGGGGCTCGATCCCAGGACTCTGGGATCATGACCTGAGCCGAAGGCAGACGCTTAACGACTGAGCCACCCAGGCACCCCCCTTTCTTATTTTTTAAAATTATAGTTGCTATCCTAGTCTTGTTGATTTCCTGGAATTTTTTTGTATAAACCTAGATACAGTTCCTTACCAGTTTTAGACATTATAAATATTTTCTTTCATTATCTCATCTATAACTCTGTCCATAGTATCCTTTATTTCTTAATGTTGCACTGATAAACTTCAACTTCTTTTCCTTGTGATTTATGCTTTTGCAGTTTGCTTTAAGATATTTCTTCCAAGCCCAAATTTGATTCTTCTGTCAATTTTATAGTTTGACCTTTTATAAGTGTATCAGCAAACTATCTGTATTCTAACTTTGCATGTAGTTTTCCTTACAGATCCAAGTTTTGTGTTTTTTTTAAACTTTAATTTTCTTAGCCCCTTCCACTAACAATCTTTTTAAACCCCCTTGATATGTGGTGCCACTTATATGGTCTGTTAAAGTCTCATATATACATTGTTCCATCTCTGAACTCTTTGTTTCCTACCAGTGGTCTTCTGTTCATTCTTGCACCAGTAGCCTTCCTGGCCCCTCCACACCCCCACCCCCTGCCGCATACATGTAATTTGAGCTTATTCATTTCATTGTACAAGTGTTTGATATTCTTGTTTTGTTTTCCTCTGCAACATCTGTCAGTTAATATTTATTTAGCATTGTAATTTATTTCCACTTTTGTTTGTATAATTTTAATGACTATGTATTGACAATGGGCATATCTTCCTGCTTTATATTTCTTTTAAAATATATAATGTCCCTCACAGTACCTTCTGATTTTATTTTTCCTTAAATCTAATTTTGATAGATATAAAATTGCTACTTGCGGGGAGCTTTTCTTTGGTTCATATTTATTGCTTTATCTCATCTCAAGCTATATCTCATTTCAAATTTTCTTTTTTCAAACTTTTTCTTTAAGTGTAGACAACACATTGCTAGATTTTTTCCTTTTTTATCAGCTAGTTTAACAGTTCCTCTCATTTGTTAAGTTTAATGCATTTACAATTATTGTAATTTCTGAAAGTTTTATTCATCTGATTTAAAATATATACATTCTGTTTTGTCTTATGATTGTTGCTTTAACCTAAGACATACTCATGTTTATTTATTCCTGTGATAGCTTAGACGTCCCACATCTTCCATCTAATAAGGCAGGTACTTCAGAAATTTCTTATATACGTTTAGTCTCTCCTACATCTATCCCCCTTCCCATATATATATATATTTTTTTGAGTAATGAGTTACTGAGGTTTGTGCTGGTTACCAATTCAATACCTTCCAAATCTATCCTTCATTGGCTATTTTGCCTTGTGGAGCTGGTGTCTATGAATTTTTATCCTTTGCCAGGATGTTAAGCTTTTCTAATAAAGAGTTCTAGAGGAACATTGGAGAAGGAACAAATTTCTCTTCTTGGTTCTAAGGTGCTCCTCTAGGTAGTCTCTTTCAGCAGATGTGGTTTCCGCAGTCCTGGGCTCCTCCGGTGCCTGATTTCTGCAGTTTGCATGATCTGTTAAGCACCCGTCTTCAGCAGTGCATGTGCTTCTGCACTGGTAGGCTTCTGTGGTGCCCAATAGCTAGCAGCACTTGGCAACTTCTTGTGGATGATTTTCCCCAACACCTTCTGAGGTGCTTCCCAACAAGAGTGCCACCAGCCCAGCACCTTCCCTTGTCACCTGATTTCAAAGCCTGAGTGAACTTCTCTATCATCCAGTGAGCCAGGGTTTCTTCCTCTTCAACAAAGTTCAGTACTTAGCATTGAGGAGTTCTTTCTTTGGATGTACTTCAGATCTGTCTTTTCCTTGGTGCACTATTTCAGCCGGTGGATAGTGTCTACTTCATAGTCCTGCTATTCTTATATTTTTTAGAGTTCTTTTTATTCTGTATTAAATAATCTCTCATGGGAGCCTGGGTGGCTCAGTTGGTAAAGCGTCTGCCTTTGGCTCAGGTCGTGATTTATTTTTAAATAAATAAATAAATAAATAAATAAATAAATAAATAAATATCTCTCATCATCCCAATCTCCTGTTTTTGTCTATAATACTTTATATTAAACTTTCCCTCTTCAAATTACAATGTGGTTTTGATTACCTTGCCTGATACAAAATCATACTTTTGCAAGTTTCTTTGATTTTAGACATTTTATTTAAAGAAATCCATAAATAGCACTAATCCTTTAAATCATCCTTGCTTTCATATATTTTATAGCATACCCTGGTTTATGTCTCTTTTTTGTTTGCAGATTTTCTCTTGAATGGTTTTCAGCATAGGGCTCTTGTCTAGCAAATGGTGAGCGCTGTGAAGTGTGCAAGACTGTTGAATCACAGATCTGTACCTCTGAAGCAAATAATACAGTATATGTTAAGAAAAAAAAAGAAGAAAATAACAGGAGGGGAAGAAT